TACAGGGCTACATCTCCGGCATGGATAGGGAAAAGAGGGGAGCGGGCATCCTGCTATGGGGAGAGCCAGCTCCTGGCTGGCTGGGAGACACATTCCTGCCCCAGGCAGGCTTGCAGTGGGGGAGGAGGGGCCGGGCCCCCGCTGGGGGGGGTGATGGGCCTCCCAAAAGCAGCTTTATCCCAGCCAGCAGTGGCATCCTGGCAGCAGGAGCGAGGCCGTGACACCCAGCAGCACCCAACCACCCCAGAACGCTGGCAGTGCGTCACCCCACGTCATGTCTGCCTGTTGCATACCACAGCAAGGCAGTGCCAGAGAGCAACTCAGCTCCACCCCACGCTACCTGAATTTCTCCAGGCTGGGCACAAAGAGCTGCATTTAGGGATCAGAAAACAACCAGGTTGGCAGAGCTCAAAGGTCCCCGGACCCCTCTGGCGCCTGCCTGCTCTCCTGGCAGGTCAGAGTCCAGCTCCATCCCTGCCTGCAAAGGCACAGTGCAAAGAGAAGTCCGACAGCTGTCACTCCTGCAGCGTTATCTATTGAACAGGCGTGACTGTGCCTCACCGCAGCGACAGGCACCGGCCTCGCCAGGAGCAAAGTGCCCTGAACCACAGTGCGAGAGAAATGCAAACTTCTGCCTTGCTCCTAACTGCGGCCACCGCAGCCAGGAGGGTCCAGTGCCCTCCCTCCGCAGCCACGTCACCCTATAAAACTGATTGCAGAGCTGCTGCAAAGGGTTGAGCCAGTTAACGCTCTGAGCCACCTCCATGACACCGCTTTGTGTGCAAAGGGTATCACGGGGCCAATTTCTGCTTCACCTCCGGTCGCCTCTCATCACACCAGTTTCCATCGCTGTTTAACCAAACAGAAGGACACAGGAGCCCCAGCCAGACCAGAAAAATTATCAGGAAGGCCAGGAGTAATTAGTTCATTCACTTTATTTTAAATCCTACATGAGGTAGGGACAGACAGATCCTGTCAAACTATTTATAGCTTGTCATACTCTAGGGTATTAGTGGAACAACAAGAACAGTTAGACTACATGTGCGTTATTAATCACCTGAAGCTATTCTATGACAATTCAGCAAGCTGAAGTCAGGAGAGAGCAAGTGGTTACATGGAGCTGTCATGGCATCAGTTCCTCCCCACGCTTGTCCCTAGCCACCCTGTAAAGCTGCAGCTCTGGCACACACAGATGCCTCCTCTTCTCAGCAGCACAGGGGCACCAGCTCCTTCCTCAGGATGGCACTGGCGTGAAAATCAATCTAGACCAACTTGAGACAGGGTGACGGGGTGGGGACACGCAGCCTCCGGTTCCTGGTGCCCAGGAAGGCTCCCTCGCCCCGGGCCACGCGCAGCAGGAGTCCAGGGCAGGGGCACTTGACTTGTGTCTTGTCAAACATGGTAGGAGACAGCTCCTACCCACAGCTTTAGAGATCAGAGGAGAAGGAACGTGACCCAGCACTGAAATAACACCTACTTTGGGGCCCTGAGATTGACCAGAGCTGAGCCAGGCTGACCTTTTCCACAATTTGCTAAGCTGTCACATCAGAAATTCAGTTTGTGATTGGCTTTAAAACACCACAGATGAGACAGAGGACCAGGCGGAGGAGATCCGGGTGGGTTACCAGCTCCCCCTTCCCAGCTCACCTTTGCACAGCAAACTCAACAGCATGATCTGTGGGTTATCTTGGCGTCCTTGCTCAGCAGCCATGTTTGTCCAGACCCTCTGACCACGCACTAAATGATCTCAGCTGAGACCTCACTGCAGTGATGGGCTCTTCCTGCAACTGGAAGGGCTTTCACAGGTCTCTGCACACTGGTATAACACTACAGCAGCAGCTGCTGCCATTCTCTAACATGTGTATGGCCATAACACAAAATGGACAGTAAAACAATGGTATATATGGTAAAACAATGTTTTTCTCAATATGCTTGTAGGGGTTAAACCCAGACCATCCTGGATGAGCTCCCAACTGCAGCCTTCCTGCTAGGGCCAGGGTCCTGTTACTACAAGTATTTTTTAAATAGACAGCCCCGTCACCAGCTAGATCCTTTCCCCAGAGGTCCAGTACTTGCACCAGAGCTCCAGCAAGCCCTTGGGCAGCACTCTTTTCTCAGTGTCAGGAAATAAACCCAAGGGTGTGAGAGGTCAGGGGCTAAAAGACCTTGCTGGGAGGAAGAGTAGAGAAATGTGGGAAAAGCTAGAGTCGATAACTCCACAGTCATCAAGTGCTTCAGATTAGGAAAGACCTAGACCTGAAGCCAGCAGGGCAAGATTGGAAGTTAGAACAGATGGCCCAGGGCTGTAAGACAAGTCTTGAGCGTCTCCAAGGATGAAGATGCCACAATGCTTCTAGGGAAGGATCCCACTGCTTCAGCCAGGTGCTGCTCTCAGCATCACCCTGCACAGCAGCTCTCCCCTCATCATGGAGTGCTGGGACTGCGTACATGGATGACAAGAGGGAATAGAGCTGTCCAAGCATCTCATCCCTCAGTGAGAAACCTGAGCTGCTCTGGGTACCTCCATAATTACCTCAGTTACCCTCTGTCAGCTGCAGTTGCTTCCAAGGCCAGGGAGCCAGTGGTCACCTGTTGGAGATGTCTGAGACAGAGGTGCCTGTTCCCCCACAGCTGGTCAACCCAAGCAGCCCCACCTGGCTCTTATAGCCTGCCCATTCCCACAGGTGACATCAGCTCACCCTCCACCATGGACTAGGGCCATTTTATCCATCCTGCCCCAAGCCACTCATCGACCAACCATCCTCTGCCTGGCAATAAAGCACCAGAGAGGAGTCAATTTTTCTTGCTACTTCTAGTTCTGCTCAGCAAATAACGTGACCTCCTGCTGATCTCCCTTAGAGAAAAGTGGGCAAGGTTGGAAAAAGCAGGATCGATTCCACGTAAATGTCAGTGTCCAGAAAGGATCTAGGATGGCTCATTTCAAATCCCAGCTTGATGCTGAAGACTCCTTCACCAACACTCCTGACCGAGGCTAAGGCAACAGATCAAAGTCTTTTCACCAGCTCACTCATGCCCATTTAAAACAGATACCCTAGGAAGTGACTCAGCCACCAGCACGGAAAGGTATCACACTGGCTCTGCTCCTGTCCATGCTGGTTGTTGAAATCAGCCACAAAGCCACAGAGCTCAATTCTGAGATAACTCTAGGATTTACAAAAAACCTCCTACAGCAGATGGGACTTCACACCCACCCAGCTGAGCATGGAAGGCTCTGCTGCAGGCAAGGGCTGCCAGAAACAGCTTCCCTGCTCACCTCATGCTCCTTCCACTCCCCACGATGGGAGATGGCAGCACATGATCTCTCCTGGTCCTACATCCCTTTTAGTACAAACCCCCTCAGCACGTCTGGGAATACAGCAGTTTCAAAGGAAATTGGTGAAGGGAAGGACTTCGTTTACAACTGGAAGTGATTTCTGGATGACAGACTCCTTCAAGAGAGGAGAAAAAAGCATGAGGTGTTAAGACAGGATAAATCTTAACTCACAGCATTAGCCCCACTCCAGCGAAGCCCCAGTGACTCAGTGACTCTTGGTAGTGGTGGTCCAACAGACCGCAGGGGCTGAAGATGGAGGGGGTATAAAAGTGGGCCGACATCTGGTAGCTCACAGTGCTAGGCAACGACTAGCCCTGCCCAGGGCTGGGAAGATCAAGGAACATTTCCAATGGTCTTGAGGTTGTAAAGCTTTCATTGCCCGCTCCTGGCTCACACACTGCATGTCCATCTGCTCAGGGAGCTCCAATCCTTGGTATCCATAGTCTCTCCACTCCCCTGGGGCAAAGGCTTTCCCTGTCCAGCTGAAACCTCCACCTACCTCCCCACGGCGGAGGGGAGCAGAGCCTGGCGCTGCCATGCCTGCTACTGCTCTAACCCCTGCTGTCTGGGAGAAGAGCTTGGCTGGCCCTGCCTGCACATCTCCATGAGAACTAGAACAGATTAGTTGTAATACTGACTTTTAGGGGAAAACCAAGGCTCAAAGAGCCTGGGAGAAGAGCTGCTAGGCCACCAGCATGCCAGATGCAGAACTGAAGGTTACAGAGCAAGAGAGAAGCAGACAGTTCCCACCTCCTGTAGGGGAGCAGCTCCCCCAGCAGTCGCTGCTGTGCAAGGGGTGCAGGGAACCATGGGTGGTCATAGGAACTGGGATTTTGTGCAATGTAAAAGCATGGGAGCCCTTTCCTGACAGCACCCGCAGTCCTGTTGTGCAGGTCTGTCGTGACACCCGGTGGCCAGAAGCACCCCTGCAGCACCTGCCACCAGCCTGCCCCATTTCTTCTTCAACCTAGACGAATGATCTCATTTCCATGACCTTGGGTGAGAGCAGGAACAAGGCAAGGGAATGTGGTCAGGACACTCAGGCTAGGACGCACTGAGCATCTCCTCTGAGCATCCCCATGGTCTCAGCAGCAGCTCACAGTTCTCTGTCCTGTGCTGTAACCTGCTGCGCAGCTTTGTGGCCCTACCCCACTTCCGTTTGGAGCAGAGCGCAACCTGGGAGGAGCGAGACTTGTGGAGCTGCAACAGGGACACGTGGAGAAGAAACTCATTACAAAAAACTACCAGACCTTTCTGATGTTCGACGGCTAGGCCAGGGTTTCATTACTGCAATCACATTTACACTCCAAGCCAGCTCCCACCTTGCTGAAGACCCAAACCTCCATGTCCAAAGAGGTGCTGGTTACCACTGCTGGGAGCCAGGCTTCACACCTATATGTTTATTATATATACACATCCTGGGGGGACAAGGGAGCTCTTCCCACTGCACAGTTTTGTCGAACGATTGTCCATGCTGCTCGGTCAGGCTGCAACATCACTCTTCCCATGGACTCATATCTGTGTCAATGGCCACGCAGTTATAGGCGGCATAGCGCAACTTCTCTTCACATACCTTGGCTCTAGGGATAGCAGGAGGGGGTGGGGGTGGGAAAGAGACAAGGAGTAGTTGCCATTGCTGCATTTGCTAGCCAAGAGGACAAGACGCTTTCTGAGATGGATGCTATGCTTCACCAGCTGCTCACAGAATCACAGCAGCGACATGGTACAGGCAGGGGGACGTAAGTGGGGCAAAGCGATGGGGCTCTATGGGTCAGCACCAAGGTTAAGAAGAGAGCCCAGACACACAGCCCCCCAGATGCAGGGGAGCACCAAAACTTACGTGGCATAGTTGGGCAAGAAGAGGGTGCTGGAGCAGGTGGATGACTCCGGCAAAGCATCTGTTGTCTCAGAGCTTGGGGAGAAGGTGACAAACTGGTCAGAACCAGCAGGCCAGTGAGGCAAGGGAGACCAGACAACACATCCCTTTGGTGTGGGATCTGTCAGTCTTGCAGTCTACAGAAGAACGGACTCACCCCATCTTGTCTGGATAGATGTAGATCCGTGCTGGAAGGCGGCTTCTACCAGTGACAAATCTGAGGAAGCGGCTGCGATCCTCTGTGAAGGAAAAGCAAAAGCATCAGCAGACCCTAGAGGGATGTGAGATGGAGTACAGCCACTTCCAGGTATCACCGGCACCAGCAAGCAGTTCCTTCAGCCCAGCTGCTTGCTCTCCTTGGCTCCCATCTGTTCTCCAGGCAGCAATGAGGGTGGTTTCACCCTCCCAGTTCCCAGCCAGCATGCAGGGGCTGTCATGGCACAAGATACGCAGGGACAGAGCAAATCACTTACCATTGGTGAAGTTGTTGAGTGCTTCCCAGAAGTACTGAACACGGGTGTCCAATGGCTCAAAGTCCTCAAACCGGGCTGGCAGAAAGGATACAGAAAATAAGTTTATTAAAGATCCAAGCTCCTCCTGGATAAATTAGAGCAGGGCCTCCCCTACTCACCCAGGGATCCTCTGTCAGCGCAAGAAGAAACCACTAGAAGAAACCACCTGCAGGGTAGACCCAAGGTGCGAGGGACACATGCAGTCAGGCCCCTCCCAGAAAGCACATCCAGATCCACATCTCAGCTCCACAGAGGCTCAGATACTGGCAGGCTAGGGATGCCCCAGTCTCTACTCTGAGGCCCAGCATGG